ATAATAATAATAATAATAATAATAATAAAACAAAACTAATCTGTGGAGAGGAACAGACCCCAGGAAGCCAGCTGAGTAAACCACCTAGCAGAGACCCAGGGAGGAGTTGTGTGAAGACTCTTCTAAGAAAGAAAGGACATCAAGGTCCTCTGGTAGCAAAGTTGTGAATGCCGTGGTATGTATGGCTCACTACCACTGTATTCTATTCTTACTCTTTTTAAAGAAACTATGTATTTCTGAGTGTCCCCTGGGTTTATGGAGGAACATTCTACTACTACAACTTAGTAAATGCCTTTCAGGAAGGGGGAGAGGAACATACATTTAGTAGGCACCTGCTATGTGCCAGGCATTCTGTTAAGTGCTGTACAAATATTATCTCATTTGATCCTCACAACAACTCTGTGAGGTAGGTGCTATTATTATAACCATTTTACTCTTGAGAAACTGAAGCAGGTGGCAGTTAAGTGACTTGCCCAGGGTCTACTTGCCCACTTATAGTAACTATCTGGGGCTGGATCTGAACTCAGGTTTTACTAGCATTACCTTTGCTAACAGCCAATTGTGTCAATTGGCTGATTGTTAACGGCAAGCACACTAGTGGGGGCTCATGAGCTATAGTTTTAAAAGGCTGGCCTTATATTGACCCAACCCACAATTACATATGTGAATTGGAAAAGTAGCCCAGAGGAGGTGCTACATTTGCACATATGTCACAGAATTGTGGTAAGAACACTTCGTAAACCTGAAAGCAGTTTAGAAATAAGAAATATTGGTCATTAGGGAAGCCAGGAGAGGACCATCTGCAGGGCAAACAATGCTGTGATGTCACTGGGTATAGTAACTTTCTGTTTCCCTAAAACCAAAGCGGGACCATGTGCTCCACAGGCCTATCCCAGGTGGACTGTACTCATTGCCTCCCAATGGAATGCTGTTCAATCAGCATTTACATCATAGCAACAAAAGTCTCAGTAAGCTGATTGTGAAAATATACTGAGCTACTATATTCTGAACAGATGAACAGAAAATGGAAATTGAGGAACACTAAGACCTAAAAGCTGAGTGAGTCAAGAGGCTTTATGTTTCAGGGCAGTTTATAGGATCTAGTCCAACCCCCTAATTTTACAGATGAGGATACTGAGGCTCAGAAAAGCTAAAGTGACTTTCTGAGGTCACACAGTAAGTGATAGAACTGGGATGTGAATCCAGGTCATCTAACATAAAATCCACTGTACTTTTTCTATGGTACCACAATGATTCCAGTTTGATTTATAAAAGGAAACTATTTAAGATGAGTGGGAAAGTGAATATTTACACACAGCCTAGCCATTTTATTCATTCAAATACACATTTACTGAATCCCACAAGACCCTCTGCTGAGCTTCAAGTGCCTTCTGTGTTAAGTATATGGGGGATAGAGAAATGGGTAAGACTTGACCCTTGACCTGAAGGAAGTTAGAATGTTTTAGGAGTGAATGTGCATAGAAATAAGTGCTATGCAATGCAAAATGTATCAAGAGTCACAAGTGGGAGCTCAAGGGAAGGAGAGCTCACATCAGACTCAGGGTAATCAGGAAAGATTTCATGGAAATGGACCTCAAATGATGGGAAGGGTTTGGACAAAGCAGAAAGAGGAGCAGAGGGAAGGTGTTCCAGGCAGAAGATAAACAGTTAAAGAAGAATAGATCCCAGGGTTCCTGAAATATCTTCTGCAGGCAGACAAGGTTCACTTTAAGGTACATTGCACAGTGCTGTGTTTGAAGGTGGAGGACTTAGTTTTGAGCCTCAACTCTGCCTTCTAACTATCTTTATAACTTTGGACAAGCCATTTCATTTCTCCAAACCTCATTTTCCTTATCTGTAAAAGGAGGGTCTTGGGTTAGATGACCTCTAAGTTTCCTTCAAGCTCTAAATCTATGATCTTAGCATTATACCCAGGGCAAGGAAGGGTGCAAGGGTCTCAGGCAATCTTGACCACGTCTCTCTGTACTTCCCCTCTTCCTTACCCATCCGTGAGTCAGTCTCTGCCTTACCTAAGGCAGTACAGTTAATGGGTGAGGGGGCATGTTAGCCAAACAGTCTGATGCTATTTCTTCATGGTTTTCTAGGCCCCTCCAACACAGAGCATTTAAGATGTTCAAAGCTGTCAGTTGCTGGCCACCACCCTTCTTTCCTAGCCCTGGACATCAACATCCCTGATGTTCTCTTCCCCCCATCAAGACCTACAGCATCTGCTAGTCACAGCCTCTATGACCCTGGGCCAAACATTTAACTTTGGGCTCAGTGGAAGAATGCACCGCAGTGACCTTCCTTTTCCAAAAGTCAGCTTAGGGGCGGTTGACTTGGAATGAATATAAACGAGGATTAATTTTTACCTGATCAAGTAGGCCAATAATGGACGTTTCTATTGATCTTCCTCCCTGAAGCCAATTATGCAGATGAGATGTTCTGATTATGCACAAGAAATACTGCAGGTAGTGTATTACTTCTCCTATCGATTCCCAGAAAGTCCACGTGGGAAGAGCAAAGAATAGTTGAGCTCAGTAATTTATTGGATGAGAGGGCCCCTGTCTCGGGAAGGCAGGGCTCCTCCTCCTTCCCGCCCCGCTTCTTCCCCTTTCCGTGGGGAAGCGTTTACCCCGCCTGGCTCCTAGGAGCCAGCGTGGCTGCCCACTCACCTGGCTGCCGTCCTCTCGTTTCTTTCTCTTCCTGATGTTCCCACTTCCCACCCCCTCCCCACCCCAGGCCCATCAGCTTGTCTCTGGTCATATCTGGCTCTGGACTGGTTTGTGTTGGGTCAGACTCAGTGTCTGGACTGGGTCAGGGGTGGGAAGGGTCAAGAGCATGTGGGATGGACCAGCTCCTCTGCTGGCCGTGGTGCCAACTTTCCTTCCTCTCCAGGGAATGGAGAGAAAAAGCTACTCAGCCCGGAGACAGCGAAAGAGAGGAGGGCAGGAAGGGCACTGAGATTCCAACAGGGGTTAAGTGGGTACGAAGTATGAACAGAGGGGCAGCGGATCCGAAATCTTCCCCGGCAGAAGTGGGTCGGGGGACTTAGAGGCCGGCCGAGGAGCTCTCTCCCGGAGTCCAAAGCCAGACCCAGCACATCACTGGGCGGATATTTCGCTAAATGAGTCCATTCTTTGGCCCCTGCGCTGGTTCACAATCGAGGGAACAGTCCCACTCTCAGCTCCTCTCCCTGGCAAGCAGGGGTTTTAATTACGTCTCAGGCTCCTTGAATGAGAGTGTTTTCTCCGGCTCCCGGGCATCTTTAAACGCTCCTCACGTCTGGATGCCTGCAATCAGTGATGCGTTTGTTTTAGGGGATGAATTAGGCTTCTGAGCCCGAGCTGCCCGATTTATGAATTAGATTTCATTGAAGGCTAAGGTGGTGGTGGTGGTTGGGGGCAGGGATGTCGGAGATGGAGAGGGAGGGAAGCTTAAAAAAAAAAAAAACAACAACCCAGCTTTGACGCCCCCAGCGCTTGGGGATCCACTTTGCCTCCGCTTCTGAGCGTGGGAGGCGTCTGAGTAGGCAGAGAAAGCCAGAGAAGGCTGGGCTGGGTCTATCTTCCTTCTTCGGGAGCGTCCTGTGCTCCAAGCCAGCCCTTGTCCTTGGCTTTGCCCTGAGTCTTCCCCTGCCTCAGACTCTTGCCCACCTTGATGACTTGTCTTCCTTGTCTGGTCACACTTTGGCCGGTCCTAGTCTTCACCCCATCTCTTAGTCTGTCTACAAGCATTCCCTAAGCACTCACCACTACATCCCCTTCTCTCTCCCTTGCCGGTCCACGCTCACTTCCTGCTCCAGCCCTTGCCCCATCTCTCACTCTGTCCATCCCCTGCCCTGAACCCTTGCTCTGCCCCAGGCTTTACCTGTCCACTCACCAAACATCTCCCCGCCGCCCAGTCTCTACCTCTGTCCCTACGCCTATTCTTTCCCCATTCCCTGTCCATCTCTTCGCTGCTCCTACCCAAGCCCTCGCCTCGGTGTCTCCCCTATTCTTTGCCCTTGTCTTTCTCTGGTACCACTGCCTGTCCCTCCCGACTTTGCAGCCCCTTCTCTCTGGCCTCATGTTTACTCCCCGAGGGGCACTCAGTCCCTGAACCTGGGACTATAACTAGTCTGGGGCGGGGGGGGGGGGCGTCCTCTGCTTCTCTCTGGAGGGAGAGGAGGCTCTGGGGGGCTGCTCCACGCCCTCCCACCGCCCTGACCAAGGTGGGGGGGGGAGTCGAAGGTTCAGCCTCATTTCTGCTGCCCTTCCACTTACTTTCTGCCTCCTTCCGGCGGGTGTCTCTAAACTTCGTCTTGGGGTGTCAGTCTTCTTGTGCCCACCCTTCAGCTCGCCTCCCCTCTCCTGGGTTGCACAGTTCCCCAATTCCCCAGGGCTCCCCCTCTGCTCCCCCGGGCGCCCGGCAGCCCCGACCCGGGAGAGAGCGAGCTCGAGGCTCGGGCCGCCTCTATTGAGTGGCGAGGCTCTGCAATCACGTGGCCCGGGGGGTGGGGGGGAGGCTGGCGGGCGGGGAGGGAGGGGAGGGGATGGGAAAGAGGGGGAGGGGGACGTCCTCCGCAGTTCGCTGTTCGCTGGGGCTCTCAGACACACACCGAGAGCCGAGGAGCCGCCGCAGCCGCCGCCACCGCCGGGAGCCTACCGGGCCCGCCTGCCTTCCTCTGCCTGCCGCTGTCGCCACCTCCTTCTGCCCCGGGAGCCACCCCCCCTCCCCCTCCTACCGGCCCCTCTCCAGTGCCCGGCTCTCCGGCGTTCATCTCCCCGGCTCCGGGGCGCTAGGCTCTGCCGCGCTGCCTCGGGCTCTCGGACCCCTGGCTCGGGGTTGCTGGCCGGGCTGAGCGGGCTGAGCGGGCGGGCTCCCGGGGTTCTCCGGGCGCCTCCTCCCCCAGTCCCTTCCCGGCCCTCCCCGGCTCCCCTCCTTCCCGATCGGCCCCCTCCCCCCAACCCTGGGTCTCGCCCCGAGCCCGGGCTGATGTGCACCACGCGAGGGGGGACATGGAAGTGTTGACGCTGTGGCTTCTCCCCTGGATATTTCAGTGCGTTTCGGTGCGGGCGGACTCCATCATCCACATCGGTAAGAGAGAGCGAGCGCCGGGGAAGAGGAGGAGAAGAGGAAGGCGGGCAGGCAGGGAGGCAGACGGACGGCCAGCCAGGCAGGCAGGCAGGAGGCAGCCGGCCGGGAGGGTGGGCGCAGGGACGGACAGATGGACGCCCTGAGGGGGCCCGGCTGCTGGTAGAACCCGCCCCCCTCCCCCACGGCGGTGAGGGAGGGGTGGGGGGCGGGGGAGATGAAGAGGGGCAAAGGTTGGGGAGGGGGAAGTGGGGGCGAACCCAACTATCTGGAGCCGAAAGATCCGTGCTGCCAGGGCTCTCGGAAGCCGAGTAGCCTCGCGAAGTTGGCAGCGAGCAGTGCCCAGCAACCGGAGGTCTCCGGCTTCCTTCCGCCCTCCGGTCCAGTGGCTGCGGGGCGAAGATGCCCGCTTGAACGCACTCTCCTGGGCGCCGCGCCCCGGGTAGCCACAGGCGCCTCCTAGGGCAGCAGCTCCTGTGGCCCTGGGGGCCGGGGCTAGGGGGTATAGCCAAGCTCGTTTGCTAGCACCCTCCTTTCCCAACCCTCTGCCAAAGGCTCATGCTACGGAGACTGGGGGAGGGGGACCACAGGAGACGCCCCCATCCCCTTACAATCCCTCCCTCCTCAAGAGTAGGAGTGAAGCAGAGACAGGTGGTGACCAAGTTGTCTGGAAAGGATTGGGGAAGCTGGGTCCGGAGCTCCTGGCTTGTGTGTGCGTGTGTCTGTCTGTCGGTGTGTGTGTGTGTGTGTGTGTGTGTGTGTGTCAATGGGTGTTGTCAGTGTGTGTCAGCGTATGCCCGTCGCTGGATTGTGTGTGTGTGTGTGTGTGTGTGTGTGTGTATGTGTGTGCAGCTGTGGCGACTGCGACCGGAGCCCATTGACCGCTCTCAATTTTCCCAGGGTCTGAGTCGTGGGCTTTCCGGGGAGGTGGGAGAGGAGGAGAAGAAGGGAGGGAAGGAGCGTGGGTGGATGAGTGGGGGCGGGGGAGAGAGTAGGAGAGGTGTATGTGTGGGGGGGTTGAGCCTGGGAGTGAGGAAGGAGGGAAAAGAGGAGAGCGAGAAAAGGAGGGAGACAGGGAGATTGGAGAGATGAGGGAGAGAGGGAAGGGCGGGAGCATGGCGGGGGGGGGGGGGGGGGGGGAAAAGGGGGGAATGGTTGAGAACCGGGGAAATGAAACCTAGGAAGAAGGTCGACTTAATGAGAAGTTGGGTGTGCTGAGAGGTGTAGGATGGGGAATGTAGGTGGAGGTGACTGTAGAGGCACAAGGACCCGTCTGGGAGGTACTCCGCAGTCCCCTCCGGGAAGTTGGGAAAGACCCGAGAGAAGAGAAAATACGCCTGGGAAGTTGGGGTGTGTGTACGGGGTGGTAGTGGCTGTGGCGATGAGCCGTAGCTCCTCGTAAGCCAGTTCGACACCTCTCTTTTTTGGGGGTGTGTGTGAAACAGCAGAGCATCCAAGAACCATCCTGGATCCTCCCCCACCCACAACTGGTATACGGGAGATCAGGGCCTGGAGGGTTGTAGGAGAGATCTCAGAACAGAAATCCAGGCTAGAGCAGATCTCCGTCCACCCCCCCCCCCCCCCCCCCCGCTTCCCCTCTGTCTCTCCATCTTAATTGCCTCCTGAAAAAGGCCAACCCCTACCCCTTTTTACAACCCACTCTTATCCTGCAATACAGGACAGATGGAGGAGGGGAGGGGGAGAGGACTTCCCTTCTCTGTAAAGCCTAGGAGGGAGGCGACAGAAGAAACTTTAGTCCTCTTTCTCCCCCCCCCCCCCCCCAATCTCTTAGCGGGAGAAGTGGAGAGCGGCCCAGCCTGGTCAGCATTGCGGCTCTTAGGAAGGCAAGCAGAGAAACCCCGGTGTGCTCCAGCTTCCCCACAGAGCTCTCTCTATATAGCGTGGGAGAAGGCTGTGACGGTAGGGGAGTAGGTTGGAGTCCTCACCCTAGAGCCACCGTGGGGGTTTCAGTGGCCCTTGAGTTGGCTTTGAGATGGAGCCCTAAAGCGTTGTTTGACTTCCCCAGCCCCAGGGAGTCGGAGGAAGCTGGCCTTCCCTGGGGCCCAATGCCAGGGCGTCCAGCACTCTGGGAGCCTGGAGTGAGCTTTCCTTCTTGTCTTTCTCAGTTGGGGTACTTCTCGGTTCGCCTTCCCTTAGGAGTTGTCCGTGGTACTGGATTCTACCTGAGAGCTATTACTCTAAAGCAGGAAACCCACCCCAAAACAGCGATTGGAGCAGAGACAAAACCAGCCAGACACTCCTGGGCAGAGAGGATGAGACTGAGATGCCGAGCTAGGGCACTAGAGAGCCAGAGAGTACCTCTCTGTGGCCCGAGGCCGAGCCAACCCGGCTGCGGGTGAATAAGCAGTTCTCTGGTTGGAAGCTCTGGAGGTGGGAGGAGGGCAGAGCCATCTTGATCTTGCCTGCACCGCTGTCCTGCCCGGATTTGTAGTGGGATCTTATTCACAGGCTCCACAACCGACTGGGATCATGTAAAGCCTGGTGCCAGATGCTTTCTCTATCAGCGTATCAACAAGCTTCCCAAACACCTAGAACTAGCTGGACTCATCTGCTCCACTAGGGGAGGATGGCTGCAGGAAAAGCCAGTTTCTGTGTGCTGGGGAGAAAGGGGTTAACAACACCTTAGCCCTAAGTTCTGCCCCACCCCCTACTTCCTCTTCTTTCTGTGCTACTCTATGGCATAGAGGCAAACCTGGGGGCATTTCTGAATCTGAGAAGTGGGCCCAGAAAGGGAGAAGTCTTCTGCAACTGCAGAACCTTTGGTCCACTCTTAGACATAGGAACTTGGCTCTGTGCACAGTGTCCATGTCCAATTGGTGTGTATGTAACATACACCTGTCCCACTGTAATCTGTCTTTTAGGATACTTGCAAGGCATGTCTATCGTATGTAAAATGGAGGTGAGGGATGAGCCTGGGATGTGGCTGTGTAACAAGTGTGTGATACTCAGAGCCTGGGCAAGATGCGTGCATCCCTGGCAAGCTTTAAACATTATGTTCCCCCCCTCCCCCAGAAAGCTTTGAGATTTCACTAGTACACATGGGACTTGATCTATCACAAAATAAATATTTTCCTGTTATAGACTGACAATTTTTGGTACTCAAAAAGTGTTCATCTCCTTGTGTTAGGAGTGTCTCCCATCCCCTTGTTTTGCCCTAGGTAGCTGGCTTCCTTTTTCACCCTTGGTATTTCTTCTGTTACCCACATATTGTTTCTCTCTGTTCATCAAGTCCTGCCTTCCTGGAAGGACAGATCCAAGTCTCAAATAATTGAGTTGAGGCCTAGGGAACTGCTACACCAGCGGCAACAACAACCATGTAGTTAAAATTTCAACCCCCATAACATAGTAACACGCCTGGTAAAATTCACGCTAATGATCTGTTCTCTCTTTACCAAGCTAGCTGCCTCCAACTGTCTGCAGGGAAATGGATCTAGGGCAGCCAATGAGTTGGGGTCACTCTACAAGGAGAGTGTATTCCCTGGCCTTTGATCTTTTAGTTTCCTGAGGCCTCCTGACCCCTTGTCCCTCCCTTTTTTATCCCATTCCTTTCCAGGTGCCATATTTGAGGAGAATGCAGCTAAGGACGATGAGGTTTTCCAACTGGCTGTGTCAGACCTCAGCCTCAATGATGACATTCTGCAGAGTGAGAAGATCACCTATTCCATCAAGTTCATAGAAGCCAATAACCCCTTCCAGGCAGTGCAGGAAGGTAAGTGATGGAAGGTGCAGTCCCCAGAGCTGCTGTGTTCAATGATGGGCCAAGTGAGGGCTCCTGATCAGAGTGATGAGCAGATGTGGAGTTGGTGACCTTCCCACTGCCTGGTCAGTGACTGTTCTGGCTTAGATTGTTTTGATCATTTGACTTCTGTCTCCTCTCTGAGCCCTCTTCCACGTTTTCCGACTTTTCCTCCCTCCCTTCCCTCCCCCAGGCAGGCTAGGTCTCCTGTTTAATACTTGAGAGTAGGAGTCAGTGTTTGGCAAAGGGTATGGGTACTGTTTCTGTGTAGTTAGTATGTAATGTGTATGTTTATGGGTGTATACAGGTGTACATAGACACCTGCATACAGTGTGTATGTACAGGTGTCTATGTATTGTGAGTAGTGTTTTTCCTCTATGCCTTGTAACGTGTCTCTGTGTCTCAATGTGTAATTTACTCGTGTTTCCATGTCATTGTATGCCTTTATGAGTGTAGTGCATGGCTCCATGTTACTTGTCTGCAGATGTACGTCTGTGTCTGCATCTGTTTATATGACTATAACATTCCTCTGTCTTTCTGTGTCATTTGTGTGCATGCCTGTAGGGTGTTGGTTTCTCTGTGTGTATAGCCTATCTGACTGTAGTGTGTAGCATGCCTCCATGTGCCACTAAGTCTTTATGAGTGTATGTGTGAGTGTGTGAGTGTGTGTGTGTGTGTGTGTGCTTGTGAATGTCGACGCCTCTATCCACCTGTGCCCCTGGTTGTAAACTGCGGCCAGCAGCCGGTTCTCCCGCTCAAACCCTGGACCCAGCCCAGCCTGGGGCTCTATCTGGCTCTCCATCTCTCGGCTGCTGCTGAGCCAAGCCGAGCCGCCAGCTTGGTGGGCTCAAGGCCGGAGGTGGGCGCTGTTTTACAAGGAAAGGAGCCGCAGTTGAATATTTGCCTTTACTGCCGGTGCGGCCGCCACTGCCTCGGCTACGAAGGGAGGGTGCCCCGACCAGGCAGGAGAGGAGCCCCAAAGCCCATGCTTGGAGCCTGCGACAAGTATCTGCACAGTCTGGCTAAGCTTGGGGCAGAGTCAGAGCAGTGGGGTGTGCGGCGGAAACATAGGGGTGGCCACGGGCTCGGTTGATGCGTGGGGACCGACTGCCTTCTCCCGTCGAGGATCTGGGCCAACACCCCGATGTTCCTGGACTGGGGCTTCCAGGACGACAATCTGTGCAGAGGGTAGGGGTAGGGGTGGGGGTTCAACTCCAGGTGCTGATTGGGAGGGACTGGAGAGTGGGCAACAGGTATGTGAGGGGAGCCTTTCTCTTGAGTACAGGCAGCTTCAAGGTCACAGCGTCTTCGGTTAAGAGCCGGCATTTGTAAAATCCAGAGGGCCAGCCACGGGTCATCTGTCAGCACCGCCCCTGCCCCCCCCCCCCCGTCTCAAACCATAAAACTTCCTTTATGGACACAATATGTTACAGTGAAAAAAGACCTGGATTTGCAGTTGGAGGACCTGGATCTGTCCCTTAACCTGTGTGAGCTTGATAAATCACTTAACCTCTCTGTGACTCAGTCCTCTTAACCAATAAAATGAGAAGGTTAAATTAAATGACCCGGAAGTTCCTTCTAGTTCTAATTCTATGATTTTTTTCCATTCACATTGCCTTGCCTCATGACGCATTTGAACTTTGCCTCTTCCTTTGTGGTGGTATTATGTTTTGAGGGTAAGGAAGGATGCCTCACCTTTTACATGCTGAGAATTAGGGCTGTCTGGGCAGCAGAGGTAGGGGACAGGGTATTTAGCCCCGGTGCTGGTCAGGTTTGAGAGTTGGAAGAGCCCCTGGGAGGCAGGTAGAGTACCTGAGGACACCCTCCCTAGATCACATAGCCTTGGGTTGGAGGAACAACCTCAGGCAGTGAGCTCAGTAGAGAGATGAAGGAGGGCTGTTCTGAGCCTGGTGGAGGCTTTGGAAGGTGATGAAGATCTGCAGTATTTTTATACCAGCCTAATGATGAATGTTGGGATGAGGAGAAGAGAGTGGAAGGCTTTGGGGGCCAAAGATGCTCGGCTTTCCAGATGATTGCACAAAGATTTGGGCTTAAGTGGGATTTGGGAGTAAAGATCTGTTTGAAGGCTGTACAGAGTGGATAAGGTGTGATAGGTGACTGTGCAGGTCAGGTGGCCTAGAGGGAGTGTGGCTGGGTTTTTCCTAGGGACTAGAGACTTGGTAGATCCTGTTTATTAGTTCACACATGACTCCAAGAAACACTTGCCAAGCCTGAAAATAATTTGACAAACACATTTGTTGCATTTTGAGTTTTCACTGAAATTAACAAAACAAACCACACATGCCTTCTCCTGGAGAGTATTTCCAGTCTGATTTCCCCGTGGTCCAAGTGCCTGTGTCAGCTTGATGAGGCTAAGGGCCTTGGATGAGAGAAGGGGTAGTATATCAAACCCTGATGAGCTGGGGCTCAGTTTCCTCATTTGGTAAATGAGGGAGCTGGACCAGAACTTTTCCAGTGCTTGTTCTACACAGGTCTTCTGGGCAGTTTCCCCAGGAATCCTAAAGGTGGGGGGCTGGCCCAGGAACAACAGAAGTGAAGTGGACCTTGCCTTCACTTTGGGTTATCAGGAGTTGGGTTCAGCCATAAGACTGTTTAGTTAGTGGTTAATATTTCCTGTGGCAAATGGCCAGAGAATCTGAGCCAAAGCTTTCCAGTGGGGCTTGATTTTGTCCCCCTCCCTCATCCTCTAGGAGGAGGAAGCATTGCTAAGCTTACCATCACTTTCTTGACACTGTGAGTGTCTTCTCTCTTGCTTCCCTCACTTCCCAACTTTACTTTCCCGGATGTTTTCTCCCCCTGGAAATTAGCCTTTTTGTCTGCTAAAGGGGGAGACCCATGGGGAAATAGCGGAAAGAATTATTAGATATGATGATGATGATGATGTTAGATTTAGATTAGAAGGCAGAGGACATAGGTTAAATTCCTCTCTGCTACTTCCTACCTGTGTGACTGGGCAAGTCATTGACTTTTTGGACTTGTTTCCTTATCTGTAAGATATAAGCATTGGACTAAGTGATGCCCAAGGCTTTTCCAGTTCTAAATCCCATGGTCCTGTTACTTCTCCATGGACTTTAAATGGGCATTAGGTAGGGAACTCCCTGAGACCTTCCTGGGAAGGGAGCATGGGATCATAACATCACAGATCTTGAGTGGAAGGGACCTCAGAGGTAAGGGAGTCCAACCCTCTCATTTTTTTTTCTGGTGAGGCAATTGGGGTTAAGTGACTTGCCCAGGGTCACACAGCTAGTGAGTGTTATATGTCTGAGGCCAGATTTGAACTCAGGTCCTCCTGACTCCAGGGCCAGTGCTCTATCCACTGTGCCGCCTAGCTTCCCCGCCCAACCCCCTCATTTTACAGAGGAAGAATCAGGCCTGGAGTAGTTTAGTCAATAATTCAGAGTCTAGGTACTTGGTTTCATTTAGGACAGAGGTTCTTTATTTGGGGTCTTTGGATCCCCAAAGGGGTCTATGAATATATTTCAGGGGGTCTGGGAATTTGGATGGGAAAATTTATATATTTATTTCAAATGTTATTGATTTCCTCTGTAATCCTATGTAGGTTATGTTATGCATTTACAAACATTATTTTGAGAAGGGATCCATGGGCTCCACCAGACTTCCAAACACAAAAAGATTAAGAAGTTCTTTTTTAGGGTATAAAAACACAAGCTATAAATAACTTAGTCCACCTACCTCATCACCCCTTTTAAATTAACTCATTATTACTTGCAAGGAGGATTCTGTGGGACTTCTGTAGTGGGTTCTTGGATATAGTGGGTTGTTCCTTTCCCAGGAAATAAAGTGTTTCTTCCCCGTCCTCCTTCTCTCAAGGATTATACATGGTCATGAGACCATATATTTAGAGTCAGGGAGGAATCTTTGAGTTCATTTAGTCCAACCTCTTCATTTTATAGATGAAGAAACTGAGGCCCAAGGAAGTTAAGTGACTGGTCCAAAGTCACATTGCTTAGTAAGCACTAGAGATGATCTCAGGTTCTCTGACTTCAGCTGATGCTCAGTTGTTTTTCAGTCATGTCTGACTCACCATGACCCTGTTGGGGTTTTTTTTGCCAGAGATACTGGAATGGTTTGCCATTTCCTTCTCCAGCTCATTTGACAGATGAGGAAACTGAGGCAAATAGGGTGAAGTGACTTGCCCAGGCTCACACAGATGTCTGAAGCTGGATTTGAACACAGAAAGATGAGTGTTCCTGACTCTAGGCCCAGTATTCTATCCACTGTGCCACCTAACTGTCCTCTGATTCCTGTATCAGTGAACCAAACTGCCTCCTGCATGGTGATAAATGGTCCAGTGTTATTATATTAGGGGGGGAAGGCCTATGGTTAGAACAGTGAGCACCAGAATAATAATAATAGCTTGCATTTACACTGCGGTTTCCATATGCTATCTCATTTGATCCTCATAACTTTGGGAGTGATCCCCATTTTACAGATGAAGAAACTGAGGCAAAGAGAGGTTAAATGCCTTTCCCAGGGTCATGTAGCTAGGAAGCATCTGAGGCAGGGTTTGAACTTTGATCTTCCTGACTCCAAGTCTAGTATTCTATGAATACTTGGCGCCACCAAATTGCCCGTAAGGAGAAGAGAAGAGGTTTAGGAGGTTTGTGGACATTTCGCGTTGGGGGAAACGGCATCCAAAAATTAAAAGACACTTTGGAGATTGGTCACGATTGCCTGGGAAACTGGAGGACTGAGGTTATAGCTCAAGGGAATCTGGCCTCCCTTGAGGTCAACTGGTAGGTAGGATGACCGGAGAATGGAAGTTATTGGGATTCCATTGTTCTAACAAACTTACTTTGTCTGCGTTGCTATACCCTTCCTCTGATGAGAAACATTGAACGATGGGTGTTTCTTGAGATGGGTATTTGTTTCCTAGTGGTCAAAGACATAGCCTAAACACCCTGCTATTCTGTGAGGTGACATGGAAACCA